AAGAAAATGACAATGTGGCACATCAGCGGTCTTGTGTAGTTCCCGGAGTCACCGCCAGAGGAAGCACGTGGTCGGTCGTCGTCGAAGCAGGCAGGCGGAAGACCGACATTTTTCATGGTTTTATAAGTGTAGAAGAAGTGTAAGTACTCTCAGCTTGTGCATTTATCGTGGCTGAATAATTCCTAGCAGTGTCTTTGTTGGGTAGAGTCTAGGTTATTAGTTATGGTGCTTTTAATTTCCTCGCCTGTGTTGGGGGGATGCGGCTTACTACGCCATGTTTGTTTGGCCGACGACGCTTCTTGAATGGGTTTTGCCTTTTGCTAATTCCTCAACGCGTTTAGGAGAGATTTGCCGGATGTATTACACTGTACTTACACTTCGGGAACATTTATCAGTTAGTGAGAAAGCAGAAACCAAAGAAATAAGAGCAGAGGTGTAAAATGCCGCCTTGCATATTGCGCGACGAATGCCCTTTGACCGCGAGGCTTCGTAAGGTGGCGTCGGGTTCATCTTTCTCAAAATGCCAAGGCTATTCCATGGGCTTTATCTGTCTGTCTAGTTAGCCGATATTTGTATTTAGCGGCGAGGAGATGGGATCAATCCATTTTTTTCTCCCTAATTTATGTAAATGACGGTAGCAGCATCTTGGGAGTTGTCTTTTAGCTTGGGAGGCAGGACTATAAAACTAACCTTCGTTTATCATTGACAGTTTTATTAATATTGATATTTTACCATGAATTGTTTAGAATAATGGAAAGATTAATGTTGGTAGCAGAGGTACTTTTGCAACATTTTGCAACATCATCCTGAATAAGACTCAGCAGGTGGAGTAAGTTTTGTAGAGGTTGTGAAGAGTACATTTAAAATTATGGTATTCCACTTTGGGTATTTGTTACCGAGAGTGATGAGCCCTCCTGAGACGGTCCCAAAATCAGGGTATCATGTAAACCCATAATTCAAACCTAACCATTCCTACCTTCTACTTATTTCCTAGATGTTGGGCAAGCCCCCACAGACAATATAGATGTGAATCAAGTTATACCTATTTCAGGCAAACAAACATTTAAATTTGATTAATTTTTTGACTGTGACACTCGGGTCTTCCTTGAGAATGTTTATATCATCAGGCTTGTTCCCGTGTGATGAGAATGAATCTGTTGATCATTTCCATTGCATTTACTAGCCAACAATCTTGATGTGATTTGATCCCAATAGCAGAGGTGGGCATGAAGTAGATCAGGGAAATTATGGGGTAATACAGTCTGAAATAAGAATAGAGAACAGGAATGTGTATAACAAGTACAAAAGAGAGTTTAAAATCAGCTAATGAAACTCAATGGACCAACACGCCTAACTTTTTTAAAAACTGTGGGAATCGAGCCCACTGTTTGGTAAAAAACTACAGGATTTTAGATAATCCAGATCCCCCGTGGTAATCATACAGAGCGTCATTACCTATAACCCAACCTAACCTTAACCCTTTAACCCTGGCCCCTGTGGTAATATATACACCTAGCCATCCCCCTGGACCCCTATGGCTTTAAGTTGAAGTACAATTTATATAATCCCGAGCCTGGTTGCTCTGAACCCTGGACCGGCAGAGTAAAACCACTAACCTTTATATTGTGAAATGCCAAACTTTTCTTCATTTAGCCATGGTCAGAATTGCTTGTTTTCCAATCACTCCCCCCCCCCCCCCCCTTAATTTGGCCCTTTGATGGGCTCAAATATTAGGCAGTGATAGTTACTAATGTCTATTTATCCACTATATGGCTTTAAAAATAACCCAGAATTGATGCAACACCTAAAATGAAGCATTTCTCAGACGTTTGTCAGTGAATCGCGTTACACAGCCTGTCAAATCTCTCAGTGACATAACGTGTATGCGCAGATGGTTATTGTCCAAAATAGCGTAAGTAATTACCTAAATACACAAAATTATGATTGACTACCTGACAATGTTTATATCATCAGATGGGGTTTTTTTACTCGTTCTGTGATGAGAACGAAATCTGATGATATTCTCCGTCGGATTCTCCAGCGGACAATATGATGATGTTTTCATAAGTCCCGTAAAGCAGAGGGGAGGGCATGAAGTAGATCAGGGAATTACGGGGTAAAACAGGCGGGAAAATAAGCAAAATAGAGAGCAGAAAGAAATGTTGTAATAAAACAAGACCACAAAAACGCTTAAAAATCGGATAAGGAAAACATCTACGGACATCGCAGCCATTCTTTCAAAGTTAGACCGAACGCGCCAAATTTCGAAAAAACCTCTTACGGGAAACCAAACCCACCGTTCGGCCAAAAATTACGGATTTCACATAATCCAGATCCCCTGTGATAATCGTACAATTGCGTCCTAACCAACAAACCAACCTAACCAAACCTAACCTTAAACCTAGCCTAAAACCTAACCCTGTGGGATTTATACACTACGATCTATACATTCCCTAGGCAGGGGGGCTCTGCCCCCGGGAACCCCCATGGTATTAATGCGCCTAGGCCAGGGGCACGCCCCCTGGACCCTCGTAGTAATATACCACATACCTTTTATAAAACGAAAAAAACGAACTATTGTGCGCTTCCGTCCATGGTCAGAGATTGCTTGGTTCTAATCACTTTTTTTGCATTTGGGGCACTGGTGGGCTCAAATATAGGCTTGTGTTGAGAATAATGTCTATTTGTCCTGTATATCCACCAAATAGTGGTAAAATAAACCGATGTCGACAAGCATCTTGAAAAATGAAAAATTTTCACCGGTGTTTCTGAGCGACAATGGCGGTGCGGGGTCGACCTGTCAAATCTCCCGGTGTTGTGAAAAACGCGCATAGCGCAAAAGGTTATGGTATAGAATAAAGTAAAAATTACCAAAAGACGCAAGAGAAGTATAATAAAACTAGAAGAATGCATTACATACATGAATTCAGAGAATCAGACGATAGTATGAAAAGAAAGCATAAAATACATGAACTCGGAAAAACTGATGGTGGTTATTACAAAATATCAAAGTAATGAGTTAGGCATCACATTTATTTTGATCCTCACAAGGTAAACAAGATGGGAATCTAGAAAGTGATGAGGCGGTCATCTCAATTCTTTGTCATGTATCTCCTTTACTTTTTGATTTGCGCACCTTTTGCCATAGATGAAAAGTGTTTTCATCAAGGTAACCACTCCATAAACTTTTTTGTTCCAAGGTTACATGATAATGAGAAGGTGGACAGATGTTGAGTTACGTGTAATTTCAACCTACAGATTGTGTATTGACTCTTTCCCCTTTATACTTGGAAGAATTGGGATCCTATCACTATAAGTTCAATACATTAAATTAGTACTTAGGTACCTTAGGGTAGCTGTAGTAGTGACTGCCATCTATTAGGGACCTGCAAATGAGGCACATACAGCAGGTGACCTAGTCAGTTTGTAAGCCAAGAACCTATGGAATGCCTCTTATTTTTTGGGTGAAAATAGTGACTCGATAAATCTGCTTACTCTTTGGCTTGTACATTGTGAATGTCCAAAACTAAAATTGCTCTGAAAGATGCAAGGTCAAAAAAGTAATTGTCACCAAGTAAAATATTGTTTGAACTACTTGTTTAGAAAATTATTTTAGTGTTATTTTTTTAAAGGCATTCTCAAGTACAAATCCCCCATACTCCATTCTCTAGGGCCAATATTCCAATGTTCTATTGAATATTTAAGTAAAGAACCTGTGGTAATAGTTTGTGATACCCTTAAGAGCTCAAGCAATTGAGCTTGTACTTGTTCCTTATTTGGTAATAAATTGCCTTAGAGATTGACAAACTGTATCATGGCAGAGGATCTATTTAGTGGAGGTCATTTGGCTAGTGGCTAAAAGGGGCTGAGGTCATGATGTAAATGTTGTTAGTCATTGCTCATAGACACATAGATTACACTATAGAACCCTTGATGTGTTCAACTCTGCTATGGCTTTCAATAGGGATTTGAGATTAATATATTGGTTGTATTCAATCCAGATTAATTAAAATTTTGCCTGTAATTTTATTCAGCCTAATAATAGTGTGTCAAGTAATTGTCAGCGCTTCCTTGCCTGTGGCTTTCATGCAAAGGTTAAGAATCATTCATACCTTAGGTAGATTGGTTTTACTATTATATTATTTGACAGATAATTGCTAGGTAGTCTATAAGATTTGTTGCATAAAAATGTATGTACTTTATCTTTGTAAGCCTTTGCTAGAACAAATGAAATTAAGGATATTAGGTCAGACCAAACTAGTTTGTCACTCATGGCTGGAGGTAGTGAGATCTTCCCATGAGCATCTCTCCTTGCTGGTTCCACAGAATTATCACAATGCACCAGCAAGAATTAGCTCATGGTATAAAGAGTATCAGGCAGATTGTTTTTGAAGAAGCAAGGTTGAATAGATTTGTTGCTGTATTTTTGTCAGGTGGTTATCATTTAGAATATATGTTAGACAAAAATAAAAGTTACAGATTGACACTTGTTTCTATATCAATTCACCTCTCCTTATTCGTTTTATTATTTCCTTTCTTTCTCCTCCTCCTAATTCCTCCTTTAGATACTTTCAGTGGCCACCAAAAGTAAAGCTGTGTTTTTTAGACTTTAATGGACTTAACAAGTAATTGGTTAATTACTTGCACGACTTTTACCATTGTATGTTGTCAGAGTTGTCATCATGACAGTAAATCAAGAATAGTAGGAACATATATAAAGTGAAGTCTCTCTGCTACCAAAGACATACGCCTTAAAAATTGTGTGCATGGACCTATGTCCAATATATTTGGATTATTATGAGCTAGGCAGCTTGTGAAGTTCCTCCCTTAGTGTAAGAGCAAAAATAAATTGATAATTTGGTATCATGTTTATTTATTTGTGTATTTTCCTTTTTTCAGAAGGAAGTAAGGTGTAAACATGGCGAGGGTGTATGTTGGAGGTTTGCACTATAACTGTCGTGAAAGAGACCTGGAAAGGTTTTTCAAGAGGTATGGCAGACTTCGTGATTGCCTTATCAAAAATGGATATGGCTTTGTGGTGAGTATGCTGGGATGTTAGTGTCATTGGACATATTTGCTGTAAAGAAAAGATATATATATATTTTTTTTTTTTTCTTTACTGATCATCTTTGGATCCTTACAGGAGTTTGAAGATGAGAGAGATGCAGATGATGCTGTCTATGAAATGAATGGAAGAGAATTGTTAGGAGAAAGGTGAGTTAGTCTCTCAAGTATGACATTGTTATGGTTGTTATAAGTATGATTATAATGATTTATCACATATGATTTGCCATTGTGTAAATTATTGGTTATAATATCACATCCTCTTGGTATCATCCCATTTATATAATCTCACACTTTACTTACTTTTCCCTCTTTCGACTTTCCAGTGACTTCTGCTTTTTACATTGTCCCATGATGCATAATTTTTCTCCACTTTCAGGGTGACTGTAGAACATGCCCGTGGACTTCCAAGAAGGGGTGGTTATGGATTTGGTGGTGGTGGCGGCGGTCGAGATCGTGACCGAGATCGTCGACCAGCTTGGCTTGACAGGTAGGTTCTTATATCAATATTTGGCTTATATTGAAGTTTTAAAGATGTAGAGTGAAAAAGCTCTGGAATATGAAATGTATAATCTAACAAGACACAATGAAATTCTTGGACCTTTTGTGAGCTTTGTTTTCTTGTGCAAAAAAAAAGCTTTTATTTTCATGGAACCTATTTGTGAATGAAATATTAGGTATAAAAGTTTTCCTGAGAACTAGTTTGTGTATGAAGCATAGATTTTAACTTCATTCACCTTTTTTTCTTTTCTCTATAAAAATACTTTATACACTGTGCGTGTGTAGGGGCGTGGGCATGTGTGCAAACCTGAACAGATTTGACTTTCTTTTAAATATTTTTACTCAGTATATCAGTGTTATAGACTCTTTAATGTGGTTGTATTAATGAATTGTATTCTGCTTTTAATTCTTGGGCCAAGTTAATAAATTTTGATGATTCATATAATTTCCATGTTTGATATGGAACACGTCTGATGTAATGATATAAATCACCTTGTGGATGTGGATTGCACTGGGGATGATTCAACTCTTATCCAAAACACTAGAACCTTGAAATAACCTACACTGTTTCACGAGAAAGACTTCAGATTTAAAAAGTAGTTATTATTATTATTGTAATTATTAATTATTTTTCTATAATTTAATGTAAAAGCGTCATTAACTAGTTTCTGAAAGTGAGAGAGTATTCTTAATCACTTTAATAATACTAATTTCTGTAAAGCCACATGTTTAGAGGGAATAGGGAGTTCCAGGAAATTGCTTATTATTTACATTACTTTTTATGCGTTGAAGGAAATCTAATATTTCAATGTGGCTTATGTTGCTTCATATATGAAAAAAAAACTATTTTACAACAACTTTAAACAGTGTTGGTACTGTTTTTATTTATTATTATTATTATTTTTTTTTTCCCATCATAGATGCCCCTTACTTCAGTTTTCAATAAATTGCTGTGGCTTTCTAACAGAATGATATAGTAACACTTGCAAAATACTCCAAATGCAAAACACAGTTCACAGTGCTATAACATGCCATAAGCATTACTTTCTAGATTGAGAAGGAGTGAATACTGTTTATCCTGATGTTAGACAGCATATTGATTTTTGGATATTTACTCTTATCAGCTTTTTTGTTGCCAACTTTTTCCCCATTGTCCATTGAGGCAAGTTTTCTTTAAAGATCAGATCAGTAAAATGTTTTATATCTTGCATATAATTTTTTATCTTATTATTTTGTAGGTTTTCTTCTTCATGCCTTCTTTCTTAATTTCATTCATCATGAATTCAGATAATTCAGATTTTTCCATGTTCTAATAATGATTTGGAAAAGGTTAATGTTGAATCAGAAAAAGCTTTGTCCCTTTTGCTTGCTTATCTGTACACTAAATACTACTCTTTAATTAGATAAGTTATTTACAGTGAAATAGATGTGGTGAAAGTAATTTTTGGCAAGTTACTTCCATTATTATCAAAGAATGACCCTCAAGTAGGATTTTTACTTTTTGTAAAACCACATTATTCACTATTGTTAAAGAGCGAGTTGGAGTAAGCCAAGTGACCTTCACCGCAGGTACGGCCCCCCAACGAGGACACCTTACAGGGTCATTGTTGAAAATCTGTCATCTCGCATCAGCTGGCAGGTGGGTCTTGCTTATGTTTTTTTTTTCTTTTGAATTAATTTAACCATTTTTCTTTCCTCATTTTTTTCTTTTATTATTATTTTATTTATTTATTTTTTATGGATTGAATATAAGGAGGGGTTATATCCCCATTTTTCATTGACAGAATTGTGCTTGTGTTGGTGTGTTTGATAGAAGGATAGAAGTGGACTTGCGTGAGGGATTTAATATGTACATTTTCCCTCACAACTTGGAGTTCTCTCATTTGATATTGTAATTTCTTTACTAGGTAGTTTTCTTAAATGTAAAGTTTTTCA